AGCCTGCCGAGGAGAAGCGCGGTCTTAAACTCGCCTTCAAGCGTGGAGAAGAGGTTGAGCCTGCCGAGGAGAAGCGCGGTCTTAAACTCGCCTTCTAAGCGTAGGAGAGCATGTATGGAGTCCATTTCTCGACTCATTAATACAGCATTAGGGGGCGACTATAGAATAGAATAAGTTGATGAAGTCTAGTAACATAGTTAAGCGACGAACGGGGTATACGCGCTATAATAGGTTTTGGTAAGAGCATTTTATCAAAAACCACCCGTAAATGAACTAGGCAAATCTATATTTTATTGCATCACCTCATCTTCATAAGATTCTAACGTCTACCTAAGCGTGCCAGGATGCACGGTATACTAGAGTGCTTTCTTTTCTAGACTCTCGAGTTATTCGTAACATCCCTACAGAGGTGTCTTTTAGAAGTTCTTGCTGACGGGTGTATGTATCGGTAAGCAGTTGAGTGTGTAAGAAGTACTCTCCATTCTCATGTGTATCATGATAGGAGCAAGTTTAAATACAGCGTTATTAGTCAGTGAGCAAGCACGTGACTATACATGGTACTTCTGGGCTTACACAATTTCTTGAAATTTTCGGAACGAACCATTGGGCCCGAGTAAGGACCAGCTCTGTCGGCAATCAGAGAGCCCAACAAGCATTGTTATACGCCAGCTTGCTAAAAGCGCTCAGCTTGCAATGTAATCAGCAACGATACTTGCAGAGGAGAATAAGAAGCTACGTGCAGCCAACCAGCACCGGAGACAAAAGCAAGACCAGCGGGGCCAATATATAGCTTCTGGTGGGGTGCTCCAGGCCCAGCAGGCTCAGCAGCTTGCTGCAGAGGCAGAAAGGATGGTCATGGAGGCTAGCCAGGGCCAGGCTGGTGAGCGACGTCGGCGCCGCGCGCCAACGTGCACAAAGTGTCACATTGAAGGACATAGTCGGACTTAATTCAAAGCTAAACAATCAATCATAACTACATCTTAATTCTATTTTCTATTGCGTTGTGGCTCAATTGCGCAGAACGTTGGATTAAGTTTGGTGGTGTGGCCCACTAACTGATCCCGCACGTTAACTCTACAAAATCTTGCGATAACAGTTATTGTATGTGGCTCTACAAACTCAAGTTATAGAGCGGTTTTGGTGTTCGAAGTGCGCGTTAGGCTGTCGCGCACGGTACTGGAGGTCGCACCTAGCTGACAGCTGGTAAGGTTGAGCGCTCACTTGTGTTGCTCACTTTCCCACCGTTGAGCCTCAATCTCAGTCCGCGGGTGTGTCAAGGCAGTTGTAATAGCGCCAGGATCTTGCGGGGGAGTAGGAGATAAATCGCGCAGGTAGCAGCGGTGCTCGGCAGCGAAGGCCGCCATCATAGGCGTATCCATTCGTTGGAAGGGTAACGGCGGTCGGGGCTCCATGATAACGCTGATGCAGTGCTGAATGTGCCATTGGTCTAGATAGCTGTCCAGGAAGGTAAACCCCATTCGTGAATAGGCGCGGGTCGATCCGTTGACAATATACATGCAATGATGATAGTGCGAATCAGTCGATAGCCACACGAATTTGTATTTTTCGAAATTTCCGGCTAGTAGTTCTGACTGAGGGATAGTAATCGTCGCTGCCTCATCTTTAAAGTAGCCGAAATCCGCTTTTTCCATAAAGTATTTGTTCATCTCAAAATCGAAGCAGGGGTTAGGGATGTAGCCGTTGATCAACAGATCAAACGAACAGCCTGCATCGCGAGCCGCCTGGGGCGAGTCTAGTGGGCAGTCGATGTAGGCGCCCACTGCGTCGTGCTTGATAGGATACTGATTGGCAAAATATCGAAGCGGTGTGCCCACCTGCACATCGGCGCCTACCTGGTGAACTGTGAACACAGCCGCAATGAGCATACCAGTAAGTAATATAAAGACAGCAATTCCCAACACGAGTCCGCAAAAAGCCGCTGTTGATGTCCGTCGCATGGCATGAGCAAATCCAGGTTGATCTCGCCTCTTCTCCTCGAG